TTTTTGCTATGCAAAATGAGGGCAAAAAATTGAAATGGTGGGGATCAGAGCTAGACCATTATCCTTTGGCACCTTGCCCAACAGCTCTAGGGATTGTGGTTGAAGGGTGCCCTGTTTTCACGTAACCACATAGCAAATAAAACTAGGATTCATCTTTGAACATTAAAAGACTAAATATGTACAAAGAGGTGTTAAAGCTGGTCTTAAAAAAAGTTGCTACAATTTTGAATAACCAATAGCTTTGCATTGTTGTATATGCTTGACTTTTTAATTTCAAGTGAATGTACAAGAAAATTTCCCATTTTCTGATAGGAATGGCCAACTTCTTCTTGTTAATGGATATTTCTCATTCCTAACAGCGTGCGAAACGTCTTGAAGAACAGCCTAGAGGTGTAAAACTAGCTGAAAGCCTTTTGATCGTTATGGTTTTTCTGATATGCGATTACTGTTATGCCTCTTCAAATGAGGCTCTAAGCATTGCCAAATGGCAACTGCACGGCAAGAAAACTTAGACCCACACTCCACATCATTCTACACACGGCAATTTGGCTGAGCCCCTACAGCTGAGCCAACATGGCCAAACCCCCATGGCCGACCCCTATTGGGTGAACCCCAATGGAGAGTCGAACCCCCATGAATAAAGCGAGGAAGGTAGAGACATCTTAGAAAAGATCTTCATACAAGTTCTTGTAACAAGTGGGTGATGTGACAATTCACTGCATAGACGGCTCAACTCATTCAACAAGTCAAGTCTAGTGTTATATGTCAGGACTACAAATGGTCCTAACATTAAATGCACTTGAACCTAAGTCTGACTGATTGATGCCTATGACAAGAGGCCCTAGTTGCCAAGATGAGGCCACGTGTCTCTTCATCCAACGGCTCTTACTCACCCTCTTCTACTAGAAAAGCTCATGCTTTGTATCATTCCAGAGGTAATGTAAGTTTAGACTTTGATACTATAACTTTGCTCTCTACATCCTTTATTTGACTCCCAATACCGATCCCCTTTATTCTATATTGGAGGATCACGTTAAAAGCCCTCACATGCTCAATATATTTCTCCCAGAAGTAAGGCTTGCTTGAACGTAAGAAGTCTTTGGATTTGTTGACCATGTTGAAGGTACATTTTTCGAGGTCAAAAGATTAGTGCCATCAGTGGGAATCGGCACTAACCATGAACATCTCGTGGAAAAAGGATACAAAGAGTGCCTGAACTTCCTTTTTGAAAAAGGTTTTATTCTTGAATAAAGGGCAAATGGAAGCCCTAAAAGATAGAAGATTTAAAGTTCAACTCAACATTTTGGATGTTCAAATCCCTTGAAAAAATCAGTATTCCAAGGTTGGAATTCACTCAAAAGACCCCCTCTTTCAATAAAATGGACATCCCTCCACAATAAGTGCTGGTAATAAAGATAGATCTCCAAGGAGATCAAGAGAGGTCCTTGAAGAAAAAGTCCTAAGGACAAAAGTCGCAACAATTTCGCATGACCCTTGTAAAGGGTGGGGCTTACAAAAAAGAACGCTATAAGTGGAAGAGCTCATGTCCCTTGAAGTGGAGTCATTAATCAAATAACCCCTAAAAAAATGAATGGTCTCTGAAGAAGAGGCTACGAAGGAGAACCCCCGAAGAAGGGGACAAGTTTGAAGAATTAAGAGGCCTCATCCCTGAAACATGAAACTTCACCTCTATACAAAATGTTTCATCCATTTTCAGAAGCTTCATCCTTGTAAAAATACTCCAACTCCACAAGCATGCTTTCGTTAAGTGTAGAGGCTTCATATTAGCCTATTCAACAGTGCTTCTGCCATGCAACGCCTCTTCCTGTCCTATGCATAAGTGCCTCTTGCATGTGATAAGTAAAAGTCCCCAAATAGAAGGGAAACAATGCAAAAAAGAGGATGACTAAAAGCGAACAGAAATGTGAACCGATCGTGAAATTGAGGGACTTGAAGATAATTTTTAGTTTCTATGAGTCAAAGCATCCTTCATGAAATGAAGACCCCCAAAAATAGGTGGCCTTTGAAGATGTTATGAATACATCAGTGCCTCCACCACGCTCTTGACTATATATCATGGCCTCTTCCTTCTACAAGAGGGCCTCAGCCAAGTTCAATTCGGCCTTATCAACGGTCGCCTCTTTTCGGATGGCCTCTTCCTTCTACAAGAGGCCTCAGCTAAGTTTATTTCGGCCTTCTCAATGACTGCCTCTTCCTTCTACAAGAGGTGTTGGCCAAGTTCAATTCGACCTTATCAATGGCTGCCTCTTTCTGATAGGCTCTTCCTTATACAAAGGGTCTCGGCCAAGTTCAATTCGGCCTTGCGACGGTTTCCTCTTTTCGATAGGCTCTTCCTCATACGAAAGGCCTCAGCCTAGTTCATTTCGGCCTTATCAACGACCTCTTCTTCCAGGATGGCCTCTTCCTTATACAAGGGCCTCGACCAAGTTCAATTCGACCTTGTCAACGATCGCTTCTTTCCGATAGGCTCTTTCTTATACTAGGGCCTTGGCTAAGTTCAATTCTGCCTTATCAACAATCGCCTCTTTTCAGATGGCCTCTTCCTTCTACAAGAGGCCTCGATCAAGTTCATTTCGGCCTTATCAATGATCGCCTCTTTCCGATAAGCTCTTCCTTAGACAAAGGGTCTCGGCCAAGTTCATTTCAGCCTTATCAATGGCCACCTCTTTTCAATAGACTTTTCCTTATACAAGGGCCTTGGCTAAGTTCGATTCGGCCTTATCAACAGCCACCTCTTCTCAAACGACCTCTTCCTTCTACAAGAGGCCTCGGCCAAGTTCATTTCTGCCTTATCAACGGCCGCTTCTTCCCAATAGGCTCTTCCTTATACAAAGGGCATCGGCCAAGTTCATTTCGACCTTATCAAGGGCCGCCTCTTCCTGATAGGCTCTTCCTTATACAAAAGGCCTCCGCTATACAAAGGCATCGGTTAAATTCAATTCGGCCTTATCAACAGCCGCCTCTTTTCGATAGGCTCTTACTTATACAAAGGCCTCAGCCAAGTTCATTTCGGCCTTATCAATGGCCACCTCTTTCCAGATGGCCTCTTCCTACTGCAAGAGGCCTCGACCAAGTTCATTTCGACCTTATCAACAACCGCCTCTTCTTGATAGGCTCTTCCTAATACAAAGGGCCTCTACCAAGTTTATTTCGACCTTATTAACCGCCACCTCTTCCCGATAGGCTCTTCCTTATACAAAGGGCCTCGGCCAAGTTCATTTCGGCCTTATCAACGGTCATCTCTTCTCGATAGGCTCTTCCTTATACGAAGGGCCTTCGCCAAGTTCAATTCAATCTTATCAACGGCCGTCTTTGCATCAACTTAGCACAAGCTGCTAACATACAAAGCATCGCCTCTACATCACCTTAGCATAAGCTGTTAACATTCAGAGCGGCTTCTTCTTCTTCTTGAAGCCTCATCACGACTTCCACTATGTATAACGGGCTCGCCTCTCTACATGGCATCGCCTCAGGCTCACCTCTCCACATGGCATCGCCTATTCTTTTTTAGGCCTCATCATAGCTTCTACTAAGTATAATAGGCTCGTCTTTCCACATGGCATCTCCTATTCTTCTTGAGGCCTCATCACGGCTTCCACTAAGTATAACAGGCTCGTCTCTCCATATGTTATCGCCTCTTCTTCTTGAAGCCTCATCACGGCTTCCACTAAGTACAATAAGCCTAATCCACGATCTTTTTCTTTCTCCTATCTTTCAAGTCAATGCATTATATGAATATCTATACCTGGACTTCTGGAATTATATGGTATTCAACGATCTTTTTCTTTCTCCTAACTTTCAAGTTCACGCATTATATAAATATTCATAAATGAACTTGGGAGACTATTGTTATGCCTCCTCCAATGAGGCTCGAAGCATTGCCAAATGGCAACTGCACAACAAGAGAACTTAGGCCCGCACTCCACATCATTCTACACATGTAGCAATTTGGTCGAGCCCCGTGGATGAGTCCCTATGGTCAAGTCCTCGTGGATGAGCCCCTACGGCTGAACTCCCATGGCCGACCCCTATTGGCCTAACCCCCATGGAGAGCCGAGCCCCATGAATGAGGCAAGGAAGGTAGAGGCATCTTAGGGAAGATCTTCATACAAGATCTTGTAACAAGTGAGTAAAGTGACAACTTACTGCATAGGCAGCTCAACTTAATCGACAAGTCTAGTCTTACGTGTTAGGCCTAGGATTGTAAATGGTCATAACATTAAATGCACTTGAGCCTAAGTCTAACTGATTGATGCCTATGACAAGAGGCTCTAGCCACCAAGATGAGGCAACGTGTCTCTTCATCCAACTGCTCTTACTTCCCTCTTCTACTATAAAAGATCAACCTTGATGTCATTCCAGAGATAATGCAAGTTTTAACTTTGATACTATAACTTTGCTCTCTACATTCTTTATTTGACTCTCAATACCGACCCCTTTTGTTTTATATTGGAGGCTCACGTTAAAAGTCTTCCAACACTCGATATATTTCTCCCCAAAATTGACTTGACCGTCAAATGCGCGCTGCCGGCTCCACCCCCACCGGAGAAAGCTACGTGTTGCTAATGGTTTGTCCTAGTGTGTAGAAATATAGCTTACTTGGACATAAGAGGTCTTGAAATTTGTTGACCGCGTTGGAAGCACATTTTTCGAGGTCAACAATTACAATCATATTCAACTCCTCATGTGTATCATTTCCTATAATATCTAGTTATTGTTCAGGTTAATATGAAACGATTAATTAGAGTGCTTAATGGGGCCGCCAACTTAGCTTTGCTCATTTGAGTTCCAGTTGGTTCTCTTTCTGCAGTGCCAGTCGCTCTTTAGTTTCCCGAGATACCAAAACTAGAGTTCCGCAAGCAATTTAGGTGAAGCGGAGACACCAAAAAAAAATAATAATAATAATAATAATAAAAATAAAAAAATAATAATAATAATAATAAAAAATGCCAGAGAAACGAAAGCAAAAGATGAGCAAGGAAAAAATCACAAAACTGGGGAATAAGTGCCCAAGAATTTGCCTTCCAAATAGATTTCAAAGTTCTGGCTTTTTCCAAAGTTCACACAAGAATTTGGCCTGACATTTACTATTGAAAATCATATCGATTACATTTAGGGAATAAAGACAGCAATCTTTGCTGATTTCAGATTTCATCTCTTTATGGACTTGTAAAGCACGACTGTCACGTATTTGGAATGGAACCGATGAGTTGAACCAAGTGCCACAACCGATGGACTGCCCCTACCTTTCTGCATGTAGAGATGATTCAGCACTACATGTTGAGGTCTTGAAAAGGGAGGTGGAATCTCCATTTGAGGTGCCGGAGCATTAAGCAAAGTCAACTGTAGATGTGGAGGAACCACTGGCGGTTCCTTAGCATAGTCCTCTGGACCGAGTTGCAGATTGTTGTAGCTGGCATCTGGGGACTGAGGTGGTTCAAACCCAGAAATGTTATCGATATCTTCAGGGACATAATCCTGCAGCATGCATTGGTGAGAACATGTAGTTCCAAGTACGAATCTTCTATCATTTCTTGTACAAACACCACGCAGATACCCATATGCAAACACACAATAAAACTGGCACATGAAAACTCATGTTCAGATGCAATATGAAAGTGCACTATCCTGTTTAGCAAATATCAATGGATCAATCAAGAAAGTATACTCAGTCAGGCCATAGGTGCAAGGTTGAGAAATTAGACATCTTATCTCACTTGCAGCATGTGCCTTGTGAACTTATTGACATGGGTGACATCTTTATCGATGGTAATATGATAGCAATTTATTATAATTTTATTCTTATCAGTATTTTTCTATTTCTTCAGTCGATGCACCAGACTCTACCCTGGCAATTGTTGCCAAGCCTCTAGTTACCAAACTATTAACACTCACCTTAGACTCCCTCATATAACTCTTATCTTTCTTAACCATAGTACCTTCAAAGACAAAATTTCAAGAAGAAAAACTGTTTAGCAGCAGCCTGGGCCCTGGGAACGGAATTTTATTTACTGTAAGCAGACTACATTGAATCTTCAACATCAAATTTTAAGCTTTTATATATTTTAGTTCCAGTTCAACAATCAACAGGGCAAGTTGCTGATAGATGAATTTCACACAACCATGGAATAGTGCAAGCATAGAAAACAGAAGTTGAAAATGATTCAGAAAGTAAAATAAACTACAAAATAAATTGGAGGTGATGATTATTCAAGATCTGTCTTATTGTTTATGTCCTTTCCTTCCTACTGTTTATATGGAAATGTCTTCTTTCTCTTCATTGGTCAAAAATATTCCTTATGCAATAAAACCTCCTACTTAAGTTTTACCCACAGAATTTATGCACAGATCATCTATCCCAATAATGATGGGCTGCTGATGCAGCAGTAATGCAAAGATAAAGATATCCATTTCCTGAGATATACCCACAAAGAGAAATGCTGACAGAGTAAAAGAATTATCATTAAATGCTTTGCAACTTATTAATCACCAAGTAAATTATGCACTTGCATCACAATAATGACTATAGCATAAAAACCATTTATATGACAGTGCAGGCTTGTCTTGATGTTAATAGCTCTGATGCTCGGACTCACAATAGTTGGAGTACCCATGTCGGACACGACACGACACGACATGGATATGGAATATATGTCGAATCCTCCAAATTTCAATCGGACACTTCATCGTTTTTACTTCTTCTTCTTTCTTTTTTTCCTTTTCCTTTTCTTCTTTCCCGTTTTTGCTCTCTATACATCTAGCTCGCCACCGAGAGGGTGGAGAAAAGTAGCGACGCTAAGGTTTCCCTTCTTTTTCTTCTTCTTTCTTTTCTCTTTCCATTTTCTTCTTCTTTTTTTTCCATCTATCCTACTTTGTATCGGTGGTTTCGAATTTTGTTTGTATAAAATGAAAATAGATTCTATATAGTGCTACTTAGTTCTCCACTAAGTCCAAAATGCATTCAAGTCCATTATTTGTTATTTTATATAACATTTAGCAATGTCCATGGTTGAAAATAAACTCCAAAATTCTATTTTATTCGTCTTAATTCCTTATTCAATACACATTTCCTTCTTTGTGAATAATTGATTTTGATCTATTCAAAATGACATCTTGAATTAGTAAAAATTTAAATTTTGAAAGACGTATCCATGTACTCGTGTCAGAAATTTGGATTTTTTTTAGCCATCTCTCTGTATTCAATATTTTAGAAAATAAAAGATTCAACACTTAAATACGTACTTGTACCCGAGTCCAAGCATCATAGGTTAATAGTACGTGGACTAGGAGTGCATGCACACAAACACACATGTACACAAACCTGAGGGAATTATCAGACTTGTTCAATGTAAAAGGAAATGTTTCATTTATTGGATAAAGCAGAAGCAGCCCAATATTATATTGGGACAGATTGATGTTAAATTAGGCAACATAACAAGGCTGCTTATAGATAAACAAAAAAAATTTAACACTAAGTCTCAGTGGTTTCATCTTCTAGTTAGCCGCTCAAGCATCTCCTGATTAGGACTAAAAGAACAACACACCATTAAAATTTAGCATTGGATTTATGTCAATTTTTCCTAAAATAAAGTCCATAGGGTCCTCTTTATTATCTTTGTACATATTTGGGGGAAAAAAACAACAGAAACTAAAAATGATAAATCATATGCATTCATAAAGAGATAAGCAAAATCGATGAGGAGGAAACTTGGAAGAGAAAACAAAAATTACCTGCAAGTCTAAAATGTTGTAAGCATTGCCAGATTCATCCTGGGCCCACGGCAAGTCAGGAGAATACCTCCATTGTCCATCAACAATGAACCTGTATTGATAAACTCCTGAAGGAAGTACTTTCATAATGGTGAAGTCTTTTCCTGATCTTTGCAAGGGTATCCTGATAAAAGAAGACCATATTTCAAAACTTCTTACAATTCTTGGAGCTTGAGTTAGAAGAAGAAACTATATGGATAAACCAATGCACATCACCTTGTTTTCCAATCATCCCATGATCCTTCCACGGCAACTTCCTTGCCGTAGAGACTCCATGTAATCATTGTTGGAATTCCTTGCTCATTACAAACATCTTCGTGCCGCGAAGTAGTTTGCATCCATGATGGACTGGGAATGTTCATCTCCTCAGGTCTTTGTAAAGGAACCAATGGCATCTGAAAAGACATGAGATGAGTAAACTTTAAGAGCATGAATGCTATGTAGTATTAGACTGTAGCCCAAAACAGAATAAACAAGAGTTCAATTTCTTTTTCTTAAATAATTATGTAAAGTATTGTTTAATCTACTTTACCAAGCATGCTATAAGTAGACCAATAATTATATAGTTCCTGTTGTTTAAAAGTTACAACATAAATGCCAACTAGCTGGCCTACATCCAAACGGAAACCCCTAACAAAACTGCAATTTTTCCTGCAAAAGAGAGCCAATCTGGATTCTAGAGCACGGACAAAGACAGAAGATTATAATGTGTAACAGCCGTTACTAATTCCCTCCAAATTATATGCAACCTATTGGTTGACAGATATCAACTCTGTCTCCATATTCATGCTCAAAAATTCTAATACAATAGTTTGATTTGAGGAGGCTAATCAAATAACTACACAGAACAGCTTTCCCTTATGTTAATTAACCTTCACTGCTAATTAATTCTTGAAAAGATCAAATCTTTGTGGGAAATTTCATTATCCGCGCGTAACTTGGTAAAATCAAAACCAAGTAAAACAAGGAAAGTAAAAATTATTAAATACAAAAATAAATTGTTCACTCTATTCCCAGAACAATTCACAGGAGCAACAATCATTTCCCTTCATAAATCTGATAATTAAAGAAAAGTTACAACATTTTTCAGATCCTGCCATATTAATTGGAATATACAGTCACCGAAGCTAAATCTCACAACACCTCCACATGATAAACAGTTTAAAGCTAAGCTAAAAAATTTCACTCAGTTAAAATGAAAATATTATTTCTTTACATCTAAAAATTCAATAAAAAAAGAGATCTTCATTAATATAAATATAAACAAGAGAAAATACTGAAACCCCACAAAAAAAAATAAATAAATAAATAAAGGAACAAACCTGAGGTCTGAACATTAAAGGAGAGTGAGAAGCCCTAGGGCTGGGAGGGGGGGAATGACCCATGAACTCACCGCCAGCAGGATCTTGATCAGCCATGCTATCCGGCGCAGCGCCACCAACGGCACCGCCACTTTCAACCCCAGATTGGCTGTTGTCGCTTCCATCTTCTCTTCCACTCACGTTCCCCATTATTATTACTGCTACTACACTAAAATATTCTTTCTTACCAACCCAAATTACCAAGAATGGGATCCTCTAAGATAAGAATCTTTATATATTTAATGATCATTTCTAAAAGAAGGAAATCGAAGGGGAAGGTATCATATCTCGCAGTTAGATTAAATACTTTAGTGTGATTACTTGTATAATAATAAAGGTAAGAGAAAACAAATCTGAAAGAAATATGGTTGTGAAAAAATGATGCTAGGCTATTTATTATGTAATCCTTTAATCCTACGAGTTTGGAACTTTCTTGAAATGATGCGTTTTGGGTTGAGCTTGAGCATGGGCTTTGCCATACCCATGAGCAACGCGGTTAGTTGGGTGGGGTAGAGGGCAGGGGATGTTGATGTGGGTTTAATGGGGAGAGTCACATCATCCATTCGACAAGGCCACTTAATTTTAGTCTTACTGTTAATTATTCTTATGAACAATCACATTTTTTTCTTGATAGAATCAATATATTCTGTGTGTATATATGTTAATTTGTTAATGCTTTGTTCTTTGATTCTAAAGTATAAAACATTTTATATATGATGCTGTGCAAAATTAAGAATCTCAGTCTGAAAACTGATGCAAGATGCCTGACTATGCAAAAGGTCAAGTTCAACTTACCCAAAACTCAAGATGAATAAAAAGACAAAGATAGGAGAATTTTTGAAGCATAAAGAAATTACATTGTGAGTCGAAAAGTTAAGAGTGATGGTTAATCTTCATAATTGATCCAATCATGCCCATAATCAAACAAGAGGATGACACGCTACTAAATTAGGTTATACATCGTCGCTTATAAAATTAAGAGTACAATTAAAAATCATGTATGGAACATTTAATCATTGTCGTTGTAGTTAATATAGTGTCTTTCAAATAGGTAACATAAACATCAATGTGTTATAATAATAACGAGATGAACAAGTTTGAGTGAATATCAAATTAACTTCTTAACCAAATTTTAACTTTTAACCAAGAAACTTAATGCATTTACAAGCAATCCACATTTGTATACTTGTTTTTGAACATTATGTGTACTCAAAATTAGAGAAAATAAAAGTTACTTAAATATCTCAATTTATTGTCCAAAAAATGTCATTTTCTTCATGAATTATCAAAAGAAATTACAGAGAAAATGCAGAATGATTGGAGTGGAAAAAAGGGTGGGCAACAATGACAACTAAAACGAAAATTTCACACTAATTCCATATGAACTATTGACAATACTGAGAATTGCTCTAGCTAGATATAAGAATTAGCTTATGCAATAAATGCGATTTATTGCTTGGGGTGTGAGCGTGTAAGTAATTAGGCTGGCTTCCAATGCATGTTACTTTTTACTTTACTTTTTTAGTTTTTAAAGAAAAGTAGCAAGAAAACATAAGAAAATGTCAAACTTTTAGATTCAACTCAACTATAGCGTGCGGTCGTCATATCAAACTGGATATTTCAATTCATTTTGACAAACCTACCACTATTACAAAATAGTTACAAAATACGAGTTAATGAAAAAATTTCTTGTTTGGGATTGTACGAGTGAAACCATGAATCTTTTAAAATTTCCTAAATAAGTGGTTACTTAACATTTTAGCAAAGTTTTGGGTAAAACAAAATCATTGATGGAGGCAATGATTTATGCAACAGAATCTTGATATTGAAAGATGGTGGTTATATGTCTTTATCATGACATATAATGATGAAGCTAATGAAATGGCACAAAGGAAGAGAATTTTGAGCACTCTTTTTCAAATTGGGGACCAAAAGAGCAAAAGTTGCACCCTTTTGGCTCCACCAATGATAAAATAATTTTATGTTTGCTTGGATGTTAAAATTTTTCTTGGAGATTCTAGATTTTTTTTAATAAATGATAAGAATTTTTTTCCCTCCCAGATATTCGAATTGGGCTAGTCTAATAATTTTTTTGACTTGGAAAATATTTTTATCACTTATATTCAAGACATACTACATAGATAATATGTAAGAATTGAATCTTCAATAGCAATTGGAAAGAAATTTTAAAGACTTGCCATCATATCAAACATTGATTTGGAAAAAGCAAAAGGACGGTGGGAAGAGAGAGCTCAAATACTCATATTTATTTCGACATAGTTGGACAAACATCTATTGGCTGCACCACTCTCAAGGCGAATATTAGTAAAATGGTAAATAAATAAATTACGGGTTTCATATTTACTATTTTTGACGAATAACAAGATAAGTTTCGAACCATTTTATTGAAATGCTTGGTTCGATCCAATCCTATTTTGATAACACTAGCAATAAGTTTATAGTTGTTGGAAAATTTTTATAATGTTCCATGTCATAAATGATTTATGAATTTCGTTTTAAGCATTTCTCACTAACTACTCACTGCACGATAGAAGCTATTTCTATTTTTACATCTATTTCTTCCTTATGTTACACATTTTCTTTGATTTATATAGTTTCATTCCACTTCTTAGTGGAAAGGGTGATGGTATTCAGTCTAAATATTAGAAATAGGGATACATAAGAAATACTAAGGATTCGAGCCATAGAATTTTCCAATTCTGACACTTGTAAAGGAGGACTGGTCCTCTTTCCACCCAAAAACAGTGCTGTGTGATATTCACTATAGTGTTCGATAAGTTAGGTGGGGAAGGTAAACATTTTCTTTTACATGGCTTTGCAATTAGCGGGTCTCAAAAATATTACACAAATGCATTTTTTCTTTGTTGTAATTTAATATGTAAAAATCATATAGCTCGAATATTTCAGAATTATATCAAGATATGTAGCTAGTATAACTGTTGTAAAAATTTATCACATTAATATTTGTGCTGGTTGATTTTGTATGTCCATGTAGTGATGACAACTCGATTAGCTAACTTGCACAAAGAAGGGGTGGGGAACCTTGGCCTGGGTTGCCTTCCGGGATAAGAGAAAGTTAATGTGTTCTTTGGGAGAAAATATGAAGGAAGCAAGGACTTTCTTAATACGAAAAGATGTAAAAAGTAAAAAGTTACCTATATACTGTGTTAAACTTCCTATATATAGGAATCTCGTCAAGGTGACATGGCAAAGAGTGGTTATGATCGTGTGGGAGAGGCCTCTGGAATCACTGTAATGAGGATATCGGACGATGTTTACTTATTTTATTTAAGTTTTATTTATTTTCTTGGACTATTATTTAAATTTGGACTTGTATGGACTCGGGCCCAAACTCGTTAGGGTTGTTTTACTATTTAAACCTATTTTGCATTGTAATTTTCAGTTGATGAATTTGATTAAATAATAAAGTTGGCTATAGCCATTTCCTCTTTCTTCCCCCTGTCTCTGTTTTTCTTCTTCTCCCCCCTCCCTCATCTCTTCTTGTTATCTTTATTGAATTATTCACCATGTATCAAATTGGTATCAGAGTCTAAACTTGGTTAATCTCTTATCTCCAATCCAAAAATCTCTTCCTATTTCTTTCCTAAGAACTTGTGGAACAGCACAAATAAATAAAATTTTAGCATGAGCAGCCAAGTTATTATTTTTCCAGCTTATTCATAGTTGTTCCCAAAAAATAAAAAAATAAAAAAATCGTGTTACTGTTCACGGGTACTATTCACACCCGAAAATTCATTTTTTCTGTATTATCAGCTTCAAAAAAAAAAGTTACTGTTCACGAAAAAAAAATTTCATTTTTTCCCTGCTGCTGCTCATAAATAAAAAAAATATAATTGTGGTGTTGTTCCACAAATCCCAAACCCTAGCATTCAAGCCTACTTAGCCCTTCAACCCATATATTCTATCTCTATAACCTACTTCATTCATTTTTTTTATCAAAACACTTAAGCCATAAGCTAGTGGCCCAAATTACTCCCAAAGCCCACTAAATGCACAGCCCATCTCTCATCATCTATTTAGCCAATCCACTTGCTTTTCAGCCCAATAAACACTAAATCCAACCCACTTATCACATATTATCACAATCGGCCCAACACCATTCAACCCATAATCAGTCCCAAATATCCAACCAAACCCAATTATAACCAATCCATTAACATCAAATGCCCCACAGTTTCATCCGATTTCTCTCGCACAACCACTCTCTTGTCGCTGCCTCCTCTAATCACCATTACGCCACCACTTCATTATCTATTGTACCCAGGCATCCAGAGCACTACCGCTTCATCGCTATAGGCCACCACCACCAACCCAAGATCATACACTTCCACCACAATTACCACACTCATATATTTCCTCGTCCATCTCAACAATCTAAAAGCCACAGTCACTACACACAGTTTTACGTCCACACCAGAACCAGCACAAGTTACAGTCTACAGGGGCTAAAACCATTGGATACAAAGGAAAGAACAGAAGTATAGTTGGGGCTCATAAGTCTGCAATTCAGATCAATCGGCATACAAATAATCAAAACTAAACAACAGGGAGTCCTTGATCTCTATTTAGTATTGGTTTATACTACTGCTTCATTTTTAAAATTGCATAAATTAAAATCTTGTGCTGCTGTTATCGTGATAATTTTAGCCTTACACCCCACTTGATCAAAACCATTAATCGAATTGACACCAGTGACCGAATTAACTTCCATTGTTCCCCACTTAAATTGATTGGAGAATTTGACTAGTGTGTTTGACCCTTGCATTGCCATTTTACATGTACCAGTAGTATTAGCTTGTTTTGAATTTAATTAATCCTAATATTTAAAATTAAATAAAAAATTTGGTATAAGTTATTTTCCATTGCTTGCACGTATTGTTCACTGATCTCATCATAGCACATCATTTAGCTGGTATTACATTGCATGTAGTTGCGTAGTGGTCGTCTTGTCGTCTCTATTTCCAATACATTGACCCATGGATCCATCCCAATTTGATGCACTCACTAGACAATTAGCGCAACTTTTCACTAGTCTATCGACTGTCCAATCAGATATAACTGCTACTCGTGAGGAAAGAAAGACACTAGCTGCTAAGTTGAGCAATTTTAAGCGAACCCCTCGTTTGACTGACACTAATTCTGAAGCGTCTCATAATAGAAAATATCATCGTGGACAAAGTGATCAAGAATATTTTCGACGCGATCGTAGGAATAGGGATCAGGTTCGTGAGAGAGAACAAGGCCATGATCATCATGGTACTCATTCTCTTCCTCGTCGTAAGGAGCGTTTCTTTAGAGATATTGACTTAGATATTCCTACTTTTGATGATTGCTTAGATCATGAAATTTTTACCCAATGGAACACCCTTACACAAGAGAATCGGCTAGTAACTGAGTACATTGCTCAGTTTGAGAAATTTCGAGTGAAATGTCATGTCGTTGAGGATGAGGCCCTGACTTTAAGTAGGTTTATACAAGGTCTACGAAATGAACTTAGGCGTGAGCTTTTCTTTCGAGGCATCACTACTCTTGATCAAGTTTACTCTTTAGCTCGGGACTACGAGTTACTTATTAGTACTGCATATGAAAAGCGTGATCACCATCGTTCACCCATCTCATTAGCGTCATCTCATCGTAAGTCTATCATAGAGTCTTCCCAGTCTAGTGTTCCTTCCCTTTAGAAAAACAAATGTAAAGGTCGTAATAGCCCAAGGTCGTCTTCTTCATGTAGAAAGCGTAATGACAATCATCTTTCGGTTTCATTGGCTCCACTTCCTCCTGTTAAGTCCCTTCTAGGACCTCCCCTGTCTAATGTTCCTCCAATTTTGGAAAATAAGGGTATAATTTGACTTCGGCCACATCTCTTCCAAATATCCTAACCGAGCCTTAGTCATAGAAGAACAAAAGAATGCAATAGAAGAGTCGTTAGAAGATCTAGCATATGGCCCTAAACTTGAAGATTTTGATGATTATAGTGAGGACATTTCCTTAAGTGGAATCCCGACCCTTCCCGAGACTTTAGAAACTATACCCCTTGTTTCCGACAACTCTCAATCACTTGTTATATGTCATACCCTTACCCAACTCAAAACGTTTGATGATTTCACTAGTCACCCTTGGAGAATCCAGTCGCTTGTTCTTAGCACTAAATCAAAATTCTCCACTACTGACCAACCTCAAACTGATGGTCAAAACGAAATTGCTAACCGAAATCTTGGCAATTTATTACAGTCTCTAGTCCAGAAAAATCTTGAGAATTGGGACTCGATCCCCCAACTGTTCACATCGCATATAACAATTCTATGAATTGGTCTCTAGGTCTAAATCCATTTGAAGTTGTTCATAGTTATAAGTCTAGGTGATCGTTAGATCTTATTCCCATGTCCCCGCATGCTAGCGTGTCGTTGTCAGCTAAAGTATTTGTATATCATTTTCATGACTTGCATATTAAAATTAATAAACAACATGACGCAAGTAATGCATTATATAAACTTCAAGCTGATTCGCATAAACGATATTTTGAATTTAATATTGGGAATTATGTCATATTGTAAGCTTGTAGTGCTGGTCCTTTAAAAATTTTAAAGCATGTTGGTTCAAATGCACATGTCATTGCCCTTTCATCACATTTTAGCTACCACTCTGCTTTAAATATTGAAGACTTCATTACTTACAAACACCGTAGACCCCCAATTTGACTATATTGATATTTCTACTATAATACCATCTATCACAGCACACAAAGATAAAATTGATGTTATTTTAGATGAACATGTTGTATTGACCAATGATGGCAAAATTCAGTACTTCCTTGTTTGTTGGGTAGATCGACGTACTTCTTATGCTCCTCATTATGTACAATCATGTGAAAATTTTGAAGATGAGGTGCATGAGTATTGGTTATTTGAAGTTCAGTATCAGTACTTGGTTAGAAGGAAAGATCGCCCCCCTTGGTCAGATCATATTCTTGGGAATAAGCTACAGTTTTCAGTACTATCAATTATGAAATTTCGTTACTTGGTTCGTCAGAAAGATCGTCCCCCGTGGCTTGACTTGAAGCATTTGGAGTATCAGATTGACTGCAGCCTATACTATCTATCAACTCGACAGGGTCGAGTTTTTCTCCCACTCCGGGAGAGTTGATGAGAACATCGGACGACGTTTACTTATTTTATTTAAACTTTATTTATTTTCTTGGACTATTATTTAAATTTGGACTTGTATGGGCTCGGGCCCAAACTTGTTAAGGTTGTTTTACTATTTAAACCTATTTTGCATTGTAATTTTCAGTGGATGAATTTGATTAAATAATAAAGTTGGCTATAGCCGTTTTCCTCTCTTCTTCCCTCTGTCTCTGTTCTTCTTCTTCTCCCCCCTCCCTCATCTCTTTTTGTTATCTTTATTGAATTATTCACCCTGCATCACACTGTTACTCTGTTAGTTGAGGTTAATAACCAAGATCATGGTTCTCTGTCGATCACTCCTTGTAAGATCATGGTTCTCTGTCAATTCTGAAGATTATGCATCCATGTGTAGCTGATTCTAGTCAAGAGGATTATCTCTGTTTCACTAAATATATAAAATCTGGGAAGAAGCAAAGGAAGATGAAAGTGGATATCAACTGGGAAGATCTCATCGTTGAAATTCTCCTCCTTCATAATGTAAAGGGAGAGGAGATAGAGAAGGGGCATCACAATGTCTTGTAGGATTTGCATGTATTTTACTATGGCAATGTATGACTGGCTTTGGCTAGAAGTTCAGAATCTGAATTGGCTGCATTACAATATATTAGACTTTTGATAAGAATGTAGAAATATTTCTAGCTTATCTTTACTTGCTTCTATGAAAAGTACAACCCAGAAATCATCCTCTGCGTTCCTATTCTGTCCCTTTACTTTTCTTATTCTTCTATAAGTTTCATTAAGGTTTTTGCTTATTGGGTTATCAAGCTGGTGAAGAAATTTGATTAGATCGATGCTGCTACGATAATTAGTCAAGTGTTCTCAAGACGTAATCTTTTTTTCAAGAAACAGTAATGTTAACTCTTACATATTACTAGTGTGCTGTGAGGTAAAATGATAATGTTTTAAGTACTTTTGGTTACTAAAACAGCTGATTTCTTGAAGGGCTTAAAGTCTCGACAGCCTGACCAGAGTGAAACTTGCTATGGCTTTTGAGCAATAATTCTCCGTGAAGATACCTGATGTGGAAGTGGACAAGCTTAAATGTTGTTCTGGTGTTGCTAAATATATCATTTCTGATGCTAATCGGAGAATTCTGCAGATTACTGATTATATCAAAAGTGTCTGGGGATTCATTTCCTAGGATGACAGTTGCAGTTTAGACATGCTTTTGAGTGCTGTTTTCTGTTATTTTTGTAGTGAATGACTCTTGAATGCAACATTTCACAAAATCCATCAGTTTAAACTGTCTTTTGTTCGCTTCACTGTACTATTCATATATGCTAACTTTACATGTCCATGTCCTTTTTAGTGATTGTTGATGTGGCAGCAGAGTTTCATTTTTGTTCTTTTTTCATTTCATTGATGGAGAGATAGAAGGACTTCATTGATGTTACAATTCCTTTCTGTTTGATTACAGAACTGGATAGAAGTTTCAAGTCATCTCCAAGCTTTCCACATACAAGCGCAGACTCTCATCTCCAACAATTAATGATTTCATTGAACATCTGGGCAGGATTGTACCTGCAACTCGTAATGTGACTAAAGCGCCATCCCCACAAGCTGCGGCTAATTCCTCACTCCATTGTGTTGCAGGTAATTTACTATTTCATCTTGCTTTGGCCCCTCATAAATGTGTGCTTTTGAGAGTTTAGACATCAACTGTATGTCATGTGTCATATAAGTACGCATACCATCGCCTGTTGACTTGAGTTCTAGCTTTTCACGTTTCCCTTGCCGGCACGCAGAATTTTTTGGCAGATGAAAAACTTTAACAAGACATATCTTTTCCAAGTCGTGAATTGCATGGAGATGGGAAGGAAGTTCAATGAGGAATTCTCCATAACCATCTGTGCTGCCTTTTGCCCATATCGTCCTGGTTTTCCCGTTAGCACTGCATTTGACAGCCACCTGTGCACCTGCAGAACCACAAACTGGTTTACTGATGTGTTCTTTACTGTGGAGCTCATTGGCATGCTGGTTCATAATACTGTTGTATAGGTATTCTCTTGAATGTTAGTCAACCAAATTATCTGTCCACTAAGTTTCCTAATTGCCTAAGGATATTGTTGGATTCAATCTTACAAATACCTCACTCTGTATTTAGAATATTCTTGTAGTTGTTGATACATTTCGTGTTTTAACGTTGAAATTATACGAACCTGAGGCGGAATATGAATTGTATGGAGCTTTGTCATGTCTACTAGCATGACAAAGAATTTTGCCACCAATTATGACTCTGGAGAGCTTTTCTTCTCCATATCCACCCCAAGTCTCCAAGTCCTCTCTGCTGGAAAATTCAAGAACCCCTTTCTGCTGCGTGGCTGCAGCAGGAACTTCCATGGCAAAAGAAGCCAAGAAGCGCCAGAACAACCATCATCTTCGTGATGGTGGCGCAGAGATGAAAAAGGGTAGTCATCTTTGTATTTATTCAGAAACTTCTGTGTCAATGCAAGATGGAATGAAAGGGCAATTGAAAGCGACCACAATCTAGATTTTATATAGAAGGTTGGAAATAAAAAACATGGGAAAACCACGAACGTTAATAAAGTCCAACAAGGGCAGGTAAACAACACCAATTTGTATGTTCTTGTACCAACACCATTATATATGTTTTTCCATATCGAAAAATCTGTTGAGAGAAATATTAATAAAAAAATTTATTGATTGAACTTCTTTAATAAACTACAATTATTTGGAATAATTACAAAATATCAAATTGTAAAATTGATTCAACTGTCAATTCCATCCGTGTCCTTCATAGCTTGTCCAAGTCCCAGGTGTGTCCCAAAGCGTCTATATCAAAAGTCGAGGTCCTGCTGGTTTAAGTACAAGTAGCTCTTCGGCAGAGAAAAATCAGATACCATAGGTACAGGAGAGAATCCGGAATACCCCTCATCTTTCTTTGCTAAGCATACATCAGCAATATACCTCTGAAACTCATGTTCTTGAACAAATGGTTGGGCTGTGTATTCTTCAAATGGCATCCACTGGAAGTAAATAAAAGGTTGGACAACCATATCAGAGTTTTGAAGTAGAAATGTGGCAAACATGCGAATTGACTAGGATACTAAAGTTTTATACATTTATTTACATTAAGATATAATTCCTTCACCATTCAAACATACCTGAGCTGCCTCTATCTCTGCTTCCTGCGGCCGGATGTCAAAGGAGAGTGGTTGTAGCATGCACACAAAGAATAAATCTGACTTCCCAAAGAATGACTTGTGGCTCTGTCTGGAAATCATAGTTCAAGTTTACTCAATTTAGCAAAGGTAATACTGAACTGAAAAATGATATGAAAATATATTGTTGTTCAAATTCATAACATACAACATGATTTTGGGAAAAGAAGTACCTGAATGCTAGTATTTCTACAAATTCCGAATCGATCTGATATAAAAACAGATAAAGAACATTGTCATTAATAAAGCATTTGCAAGTAAAATTCGCAATTCATCAGATACTAAGGAAACAGATCATGTGCATTTTTTGCACTTACTCCTGTCTCTTCTTTTACTTCTCTCACAGCTGCATCACATATATCTTCCCCCTGTGGATGGAAGAATGTTAATTTAGACAACCACCTAAAATGCGGTTTCTTTTGTCATTTTTTGCCCATAAAATATCATGTAAGATTGATCGCCTGCACCTACCTCGTCAACAACTCGTGTGGGGAACTTCCACAAACCTGTTCTTTGCAATTTTCCATCCTTTTCCTGGACAACTAGAACCTAGGTAGAAATTTGTGAACCAATTGACTGCTTAGCAAGAGGTCCTAGAGATTTAAAATATGCTAATATATATAAATGCAGAATTGCAAACTCACAAAAGCAAGGAGAAAACCTGAAGACACTGTGACATCTTATATTCATTGTTTCTTCGTGTTAAGTTGACATCGTGTAGATATTTATTTCACACATGGGGTTATCAGAGCAACACAAACGACAAACACATCCCAAGAGTTCCAAATTATTTTTTCAAAGAGAGTACCAAGAACGATGTATTGCACGTGGACATATTTGTGTTAACATATTAACTTGCATGAAAAAGAAAGAATGTGTGTTTATAATGAATAATACACAGGTGATGCAAAGTTTTATAGTAAGAGTACAGTTTACTCATCTTTATTATGCATGTGTGAAAAAGCACAGACACATACTGTGACAGCCTAAAACTCTTCATTTCCTTGATCCACCAAAATGCACAAGGAGGATTTCGAGAATCTAAAATTTCATGAAAAGTGTGAAGACATGTTTACACCAACAGAATATCAAATATCTTAAATACTTCCACAAATGATATTTAAACTGAAATAAATATACAATGCGATAAAACCTTCAATGCTACATACATCAGCATAAAAAGAGGCAGCAACAAATAATCAAAATTCATAAAAAGCATGAAATAATGAATCTAAAAAGAGCACAGGTAACAGAGATTCTTATCTAGTGATCTGAACAATTCAAGATGCGAAAACACTGCAACAGGCATTCTATCAACCCAAAAGACTCCCTTACAATATATATGGTTCAAGAGAATACAGGTCGACCATGGGGACTTACCTCATTCTTTTCATTCATGACGAAAGCACTAACACCCACTCTATGTGAGGCATTTGCAGGTAGAGTATTAGGAGTACTAGGAAGCCAATGCACAAGCATCAAGTATCTGGATTCCGCATGGTGACAATAGAATCCTTCCTGAAATAAATAAATTTAAAAAAAATAAATAAAAAATTGATGATGAGAAACAGTTTGTAAGATAGCATGTAACAGCTTCAAGGCTTCTTCAAGGATGAGATTATTCTCGAAATAATACAGCATAAGAAGAGATATATGCTAACCTTAACAGCAGGTTCAACAAGATTTACAAGCTCAATAGGCATTTTAAGCCAGACTCCTTTCTTGCCCTGCAAAAGCATCCATACAGGAAATTGAAAGCCCTGGTTGAAAGTAGACTGTGAAATAATTGTCCAAAAGTTTCAAAATTTATCTACACGTGAGGTGTGACCCATGTCCTCCCTTCCGTAGAATCATATTCCCAATGCGCTAAAATTTCAGTCTACTTCTGGTAGTATTTCCTGTGTTCCTTTGAATTTTATCTTGCACGGCGATCCACGCCCAATGTCCCACAACCCCACCCCCAACAAAAAAGGAAAAATAGGAAACCCAAAAAGGATCCCGATTGGGAACCATATAATTATCCTCTCGTCATTTAAAATATGATCAATACACAGCTTGTCAAACACAATAAATATATAGAAACACTCAGATAACTGATGAAAAAACTTATATCACAGGTCTGTTAACATTTTAATCATCCAATACAAATGCAGCAATCAACATCATACAAAAGCTTGCTCAAAAAAATACAAAAATACAACTCTAAGCGTCTCATCTATGAAGGACAGAATCCATTTCAATAATCTGCTCTTCAAAGATATCTTTTTTTCCCTAATAAAATGTACAAACATCAATCAAACTTTACACAACCTCAAAGAAAACTTTTTATCCAAATATCGCAGAAGTTTACATTTTTTAATCTCATTTCATCATTTAAAACTATTAAAATACACAATTTGAGTCTTGATATAAACCTTTATTTAATTATTTTGGTACTTTAATATCTGTCCGTTCGCTACAAGAAATGATTTTATTTTTTATTTTTTTATAACCGTAGAATTAAATTCTTGATTTTCTTACATAGTGCTTCCTGAGTCGTAACCCATTACGCCTAGGGTTCTACATTATCCAAAACTGAAATAAAATATCTTTATCAGAGAAACTTGAATTAAAAGAAACAAAGATTTCAATACCAGTTGTCTCCAGTGGGAAAGCGAGGCTCTGAGTAAAGAAACAAAGATATGAGCATCCATGGGTTCATTGGTCATTTCCACAACAACACCTCCATAATCATCATTTATGGCCTCCAATATTCTATCAGCTTGCTTCTCTGATGGCAGCGGCGAGTCGGAGGAACTCATTTCGCGGATCGATGATTCAATAGAAAGACCAAATTTAACCTCGGTAAACCTTTCTGAAAGAATCAAGAAAAGCTAAATTCTTTATTTCGGAATTAGTAAAATCTTGAATTATCTAAGAATTGAAAGAATTGAATAATCTTGAATTATCGGAACAGCCGGCCCTGGACAAGGAGCTTCGTTCATAATACTTTCGGGAAAAGCGTCCAAAAGTAAATGCATGAAGTTGACGTGTGTAGTAGATATTTTTTATTATTGTAAATTAATGTGTGATTTAATTTTTTTTTTTTTTTCTGATCCTAAATTGTAAAGAGCATTTATATTTTACGATTATGTCAATAATGCGTAATTTAGTTATTTAATTTATAATTCAAAATTGTGTATGTGCAAGAATGTATAATTTTGATGTATAAGATTTTCTCCACCCAGAACCAAAATTTGAGATAAATTTTGCACAATTTTACGCTAAATTTTGCATTAAACTAAAAATTATTTCCAAGCATTACAGCAAAACTACACCAAATGAACTGTGTTTAATCACTTTCTTCACTTTGTTATTCTTAACAATTTACTTATTTGAAAATTTATTTCTTTATTTATTTTACAAATATATAAATTACTAAATATTAAATTTAGAAAATATTAAATTCAATAATAAATATAAAAATATAGTAGAATTAATAGAAACACTACAAAAAATTTTAAATAATCATGTTTTTTATATTTTAAATTTTTTATATTCTTATTTTAATTAGAATTATGTTATGTTGTCAGAAAATGGCTGACATGCAATCTGATCGATACTCACAACGGAGGGGTCCACTTTTTTGGATTTTTTAATTCACATGAGACCTACACGCATGTAAGAGGATGTCAATTAAGGTGGCAAAAAAATTCTGACAAACCAACTTAATTCTTTTAATTAATTCATTAAATATTTTTTTACATTGTTAAAATTTATTTTAAATGCACATAATAATAATAAAAACAACAACAACAACAATAATAATTTATTGTATTAAAAAATATACAATACAAATGATACAAATACCTTTAATCAATTTGTTTGACAAATGAAAACAAATGATAAAACTGACTTTGAACCATTTTGCACCAAAATGGTGCAAAGTTTGGTTTGGTGCTACATTGGAGACATTTTGCATCAAAATTTGGTGCATTTTGGTATTTTGGAGTCTCTTTTCGAGATGCCCAAGGCTATAATTTATTGACAATTCCAAATTTTACGGCTGCGGTGTTGACACTAAATATTTGACTAAATTAGATGTCCATGGTCGATGAGGCCTTGGGCTTCAAGGCTCCACGATTATCGAATGCGTTCAGGTAAGCCTATAATTGCAACATAACAAATAAATAAATAAAATATTTTAGCACCATGTTTTTATCATACAATCATAGAGAGCATTATTTTAGCGGCTTCAGCTATTAGCAAAGAATAATTTTTTGAAAAAGATAATTAGGTGATCGACGATTAGATATATTGACAGATTTCCTATATAATACTCATTTGTCAAATTGTTTTACTCCTATATTCATTTCCCATGTTCACCAACAAGCCTTATAACGAGAAGTGAATATTTGCTTGTGTTCTTCCCTTGCTTTATGCACTTTGGTTTACATCAAATGGTCCAAGGAACATTGATAGTTTCAAGTTATCAAATATAAGACAACTTGAGCAGATGGTGGGCACGATATAAGGAGTTTAGTAAGAACCACTTGAGCCATATTATCTTTTCAAAGTACCTTCTCCAAAATATGTCCATTTTGATTAACCCTGAGGAGTAGCTCAATAGTCAGACCTTGAATTTGCTTCTCAACGATCACCAGTTCGAGTCTCCTTAAGGTCACTGAAGTAAATATCCGACTGTAAACTTCAGAGTCTCGTGAGATTAGTAGAGGTGCGCGTGAACTGACTTGGACACTCATGGCCATAAAAAAAAATTGTCCATTTTGATTATTTATCCCATTTTTATTTTGGAGATTGCCTTGTACTCTTGTATATGATCTTGCTTATCAAGTGCTTTGCATTAGATTGATCTATATAAAATATGCTTTGTATTGAGTACCATCAAGGTAGAATTGGAAGAGATTTTCTTATTGGACATTGGCAATCGTACTTCGAAAGTGACCATAAAGTAATAGCAATTACTTCTTCTAAGTGAGAAATGTTAGTTGGTTCACGACAACCATTCCGACACATTTGTTGACTTTCGACAGGAAAGATGTCATATTATTACCCAAGTGCGATTCATCTAGAGCATCAAGGTGCGACACTAGTAATAATTACCTAGTCACGTCAAAACATCGGACGCTTATAACTTGGTACTTTAGATGAGAAATTCATTATGAGATGATGACTTTAATTAAGATTCATGGACAAATATTTTTTAAGTACGAGAGAATGGTAGTATCAGTTGGTGCTTCGAAAGCGGTGTTACAAGAAGTTCAAGAAATCAGCCCACTTAAGTCAACAAAAATAACGAAAAATCACAAAAACTGAAAACTAAATAAAAAAAAAAAACACAATGAAAGAACGCGGCATTTTCGCCCTAAGGCAAGAGGTTTGGAACTTTGTTCCTAATCCCCTTTTGAGCTTCCGTCAAACGGAAGAAATCACTATATCAATGGAATCAAAATCTGTCTGATACAATTTTCGTAGCACTCAGTCGAAATCACACAAGATCTCTCCCAAAATTAAGCCTCATAAACCATACAACATTCACTCAAGAATGATGAATCGAAGCCTATACAACAATCACTCAAGATTATTTCAACATAAGCCTCTATACATTCGACAATGGTATTCACTCAAGAATAACATCAATACACCTTGTTAAATCACTCGAGATTATCTATACAAGGTTGGATTAATTTCCCATCAACAGGGGCTAATTTTTGGAGTGCAAAAATTGATAGATTGAAGGACCACCGAGAGAGAGACGAGAGGCAGAGACTCGTGAGGTGAGAGAATGAAAACTGATTCTGTTTTTTTTTTTTTTTTTTTTTTTTTTTTTTTTTTGGACCCCCCCCCCACGTGAGGAGGTGAGAAAAAAAAAACTGATTTTGTTTTTTTTTTTTTTTTTTTTTTTTTGTTCTGCTGGACGTCCAACCCTAATGCCATTTTAATATGAAACCCACTAGAGTCTTCATCCAATGGTGTAAAGTGTGACACTTGTCAAAATCTGGGCATCCATTTATTATAACAAAAAACGTGTTTCGCCATCTTACAATTTCTGCAAAAACAACATAGCAATCACTTAACAATTTGGACGACCCGGCCCACTGAAACAGCAGATTAATTCCAGCCCAGTTGGCCCATCATTGTGCCACTTTCTCCACAAGCAGTCGACCGCATAGTTTTGGTTGATTGGTTGATGTTATTTGGCTCCATGTATGCGGATCGGTTGCTGGGATGTTGCTTTATTTATTTATATTAACTAAGTCTTAATTATTTAATAATTTTGAGGAGGATACTTTCCACCACAATATAGCGAGACTTGACAAAAAAAAATATGTTAGACACTCCCGATAGGGAGTATTTAGATTTCCTATATTTTTTTATAGATGTCGATTTGCGAGAGTATTATTTTACGGTTATGAAACGTAGTATATAAATCATATTTTTATCCTGAACATAAGTTAAAATTTTCTAAAAGCAAAGTATGAAAAATATTCGTTGACTTCCAAATATATATATATATATATATATGACTCAACTGTTCAACAGATCTTGTCTACTGTCTCCTCCATGGCTATGTAACTTCACACTTGTACACACACGTTGTAGACTCAAACAAAGGCTTCTCTAAGCAAGGTGGGAAAGATTGCGATCATACTCATTCTGATTCTCAAGTCAATAAATGGACATTTGATTTAGTTTGGGAGAAACATGAAAGGATAAGAAATGTGTGGGAAATACATGGAATTGACTCAAATAAAAGAGGGATTTTCCAAAATGACCTTTGACTTTTATAAACATTTTGAACTACTTAAAACACCCTTTAACAAATATTAAAAAACAACCCTTTATCTAATAAAAATCTTCTATTTAAGTCCTTAAAAATTAACAAATATTTTTTCTAAAAATTTGAAAGAATTATTAATGAATAATTATAAAATGGAAAAACCCAAATATAAGAGAGGACCATATAATATAAAAAAGGTTGTTAAAAATAAAAAAGAAATTAAGTTTGAAAAAGAAATTGATAAGATAGGATATCAAGAACAATTATATGCATCACAAGAAATATTAAAATGTTTCAAAGAAAACTTATTAGAAAATTTTGCTAAAGGAATTGTAAGATCAATAATCATAAAAGATATACAAGATATAATAGATAAATTGGAAAAAAGAAAGAA